TTGTGTCAATAAATTTCATTGACGTTTGTTCATTTTTTATTATTTGTTTGTAAGTAAATTTTGAATTTCTTTTATTTTTATTATTTTTTTAATGATTTAATTGTAATTTTGATTTTTCTATTTAATTTTTTTTTTGATTTTGATCCTTCTGCTTTAAAAATTATTATTTTAGTTTTTTTTTAAATTTTGTATTTGAAATTAATCCTCTATTCAATTTGATGTTTATTTTCAATGAACTGACACAATTTTAGTTGAAGTGACATTGAATATTTTATCTAAATTATTTTTTTTATTTTTTTATATAATTATAACTATTTTATTATTTTTTTATGAAATAATGATAATGTCAAAAAAAAATTGATTCCAATAAATTTCAAATTCAAAAATATTAATACATCAATACTTTGTATCAAGAACTAAACACTAACACTTCTAAATGGTAATTAATTAAATTAACACAACTATTTGACAAAACAAAAATAATTCCGAGCATCTTTGAACTCATCATAAAACCTAAAACTATCAGTATTAGCTCCAACCCATCTGGAGGCACTGTCCTTGGATATTCCTCTCTGCTTCATTACTTCTCTAAGTTTTCCATTTCCCAGCATCTGCCAATATATTAGAAAGTGCAACGTATCCTCCCGGTCTTCTGGTAGCATTCAGCTTGAAAAAGCTCATTTACAGTTAATTTTGCCATTTTAATATTTTTGTGGAGTCTGCACGAAATAAGTAAATTCTGAGAAAACTAATTATAATTTAAAAGTGTTAGTGCAGTGGTTTGACTTTTGGTAACTAATGTTTCAGGATTCTAAATTCATTAGAATCAATTTTTTTGACATTATCATTATTTCATAAAAAAATGAACAAAATAATTATAATTATAAAAATTTAAAAAGAATTAAAAAAATGACGTGGATAAAATATTCAATGCTACCTCAACTAAAATTGTGTCACGTCACTGAAAATAAACAACAAATTGAATGAGATTAAATTCAAACACAAAACTTAAATCAACTGAACTTTGACCATGCATAACTTTCACATACTTCATCCATTTTTACCCAACCAAAGTTCATTTTGAAGAGAATCAAATTCAATACAACTTATCTTTTATCCTCAAGTTCAAGAAATGCACCATTTGAAAGATACAAGCTCATACATTATAAGTCATTTTCAGAAAGTTAACAAAAGACACTTTTTGCCAAGACCTTTTACATCAAGATAAAATCTTCAAATGTAAAATTGATCAAAAGAGGGATTGAATTAGACCTCTGCTTTTTAAAAAGTCCAAGATCATTATCATTGGATAACAATTGAGCAAGTTATGATTTGCCCAAGTTGAAAAAACTTGGGAAATTTCAAGAATTGTGCATTGGGAAAACTTGAACTTTTAGGTAAATGGCCTAACTTCTTGGACTTCAAATATCTTTCTAACCTTATGAGAGACCTCTAAAATCATTTCTACATTGCCTTGTCATTTCTACCTATTTTATCCATATTTATTTTGTTTTATTCAAATAATAAAAACTAAATAAAATTGCATAAAATAGTAAATATTGGTTATGGCAATATGGACTGATGATTTGAATTGTTTTTGGGCTCAAAATTTTGTGCAAAGGAGGTCAGGTGCATTGCACCTCAGAATGGGCAAGAATTTGCATTTTTGTAATTTTTTTAATGTGTTTGATTTTGATTTGAAAGAGGGTCATTATGGGTAGATTCTTACCATCTTTGCTAGCCTTCTTCTTCCTCTATAAATACAAGACCAATGCATGAGCAAAAGGGACGAAAATACATTGTCTTACCAAAGCTCCGCAAAATTGCAAAAAAAATCATAAAAGTTGTGAAATTCGAAATTGAGTTTTTCAGCCACCATCCATACATACCAACTGCTCAGTCGTATTCCTGAGATTTCTAGGAACTTATTCCACCCATTACCAAGGCTTTCAACATCTTAGATCCTCAGATCCACGCATCACCGGTTGGTAAGATTTCTTGAAATCAAAATTGCATTTTCATGTCCTATTAACGCTTTTCATTATTTGATTCGTGTTTAGGATTGTTCATAGTACAAGTTTAACATGCAATATGTAAGCTTAAGGACCTGAATGAGATCGTGTTATTTCTAGAGCATGATCTGTAGTTTCCTTCGAATCTCAAGATCCAGGAGTGATTCTCAGGCTCATGTCTTTTTTTAATTCTTATTTTTTTAGTTTTTTTTTTAATTTTATATTCATTTTCTTTTCAAAAACTATTTTTATTTTTTATCATAAAAAAATCACAAAAAAAATTAGGTTTTAGTTTTTTTATTAAAATTAATTTTGTTAATTAATTAAATAATTACCTTAACACTTTATTAAAATTAAAATTAAGTAGACTTAGATTTTAATTTCTTTTATTAATAAAAATGCAAAAAATATTAGGTTTAGTTTAGAATTAATTTTTAATTAATAATGTTCTTTTCTGGCATTTAATTAATTAGTCTAATTTTAACTTAACCATTTTATTAAATCAAAACAAATAAAAAGATTTCTTTATTCACCTAAAATTGTCTTAGGATTTTTAGACGTCTTTCCATTTCGTACGCATTATTTACTTTCGCATTTTTTCATACTAATGTATTTGCTTATGGGATGTAATAGACTATAATTAGGACTTTTTACTTTACTGCTTTCTTTATTTTCCCCCAAGTTTTGGACTTGTAATAATCCCCCTCCCCGAAGCCTTGTAATAGTTAAATTTATATTTCCGCACTTTTAATTACTTCAAACTATTAACTGTTTAGATGCATGACTAATAGGATTGTATGATAAGAATAACAAACAAAACTCTAGCAAACCTAATGCAAAGACAAAAATAACTGAATACAAACACAATTGCACATGCGCACCTCTAGGATATCCCCATTTCGGTTGCCTTCGGAAAATAGTCACATCTCTCGAAACGTGAGAGATTTTAGTGGCTACTCTTCGGTTTAAAGATCATAAGTCTCTCGATGACCCTCTCGATGTTGCCTCGATATGATCTTAAAACCCTAGGGTAGTTACTAAAGTTTCTTGCCCAGTTGCTTTTGTGACTATATAAATGTCCCTTCGATTGTTCCTCAAACATCCAACGACTAGGGCTACCTACTCACTAATAGTAGGATAGCATTGTCTAAAAGAAAAGAGGAAAAGAATAACCTTTCGAGTAAAGTAGATAGCTGTTAGATGCTTGCTCAAACAATCTTTACACTTACACAAAACTTCTTTCAAAAACATTTTCAAACACTTTGTATACGTTATCTACCATTTCGAGAAACATTACAAAGTTCGCCGTATTAAGGTGCTTTCAAAAATACTTTTCAAAAACATACAAAGCACAAGGTATTTCAAAATGAGCTAAACATCTAAGAGCCAGTAGATAACTACGGATGAAAAGGGTGCTAACACCTTCCCTTTCCATAATCTACCCACCTTACTCATAAAACTCTCGAAAGGTCTTTTTATGTTCTTTTCACCCTTTCTTTTGTTGGATAAAAGAAAAGTCGATGGCGACTCTTGCTTACCGCAACATTTACGAATACAAATGAAAAACCAGTATAAGCAGTCGGTTCTGCCACCGTATCACAATATGCTATAAGAAAAAACTTATGAGATGGAGATGTATTGGTTTTAAAAATTGGACATTTTTTTCCGTACTTGTATGCAACACTGAGGAGGGGTTGATGGGTTGATATGTTATAGAAATAGTATTGGAGGTATAATATATGTATTAGTTTGAACATGGTGGGCTTGTTTTTTTTTATATGTTTTGGCAGTTTTTATGCTTGACGTACAATTATGCTTAACGTACAATTATGACGGTTACTTTTATTAGACTAAAATTATGCATGAAGAAATATCACTTTTGCCTTTTTTTTTTCTATTTGAAATCTCTACACAAAAAGTATGCAAAATTGAGTATCTCACACTAATAAACATTATACTGATTCTTTGGTATCATTTATATTGCAATTTATATTAACAAACGAAACGATTTTTTTTTTTGAAATTATTCCATAATACCAATTGTTTTCCTTTACAGGCCAATGATTACTTTTTTATTTTAAATTAAAATGCTATTAAATCTAATATAAGAATTATTACATTATAAAAAGCTTATATTTAGTCTACTAAAAAGTTCTATTTTGAGTCACTTTCTTAAATTTAATTACTGATATAATAAATAAAATGAGTATATGGTAGCAAAAAAAATTAATTAGGGTTTCAGCTTCTCAAAATATAATATCATTGAAAGTATTTTCATTTTGGGTTGTTCATTTCATTGTTATGAAAAGAGCTCATATATTATCATTGTTAAATATCTCAATATCTTATGTGGATTAGGGTTACCCAATTGTTTATTTTTCATTTTGGGTTGTTCATTTCATTGTTATGAAAAGAGCTCATATATTATCATTGTTAAATATCTCAATATCTTATGTGGATTAGGGTTACCCAATTGTTTATTAGCATGCAGGTCAATACACATCTCGAAGTCCATATAGCTATTGCTATATAGTTTGTTGGATAGGGTTTCATGTTCATAATTATATTATCATTAGAAGCTTGACAGCAATACAATGTTCGGCAAAACCTATGAAATATACTCTTTGTGTTGGCAGCAAATAATTTTCAGCAACATCTATGGCATGCTTTGTTAACGAATGTATGTCCTCATTTTATTATTTAATTTGTAAGTTTGGATTGTTCATACCATATTTTTGATACCATAGTAAAGTTGTTTGTTTCTGTAAAAGTATGGCATGCATATGATTTTATGTGGTGTTACCAAGATTTTAATCTTATGGTTTCAATTGGATTTATATCTCTTATTATAGGGACAGTAGTATACTTCCTATGTTAAATTTATATTGTTATGTAAATTGTATGATTGTTGTGTTGTTATTGTATTGCAGTTACACGAAGGAAGAAATGATGACACATGTGCTTAAGGTAGGAAAAGAGTTCGAATAAATGCAGGACAAAAAGATCGAAGCTCCCATTAAGGATGGTTGGATTGATGAATCAAAGGAAACAACAGATGATAGTAACGATGTCAATTGATTTTATAATATAACATAAGCAAATAAGCCAGGGAACAATATGATGATATGTGTGCTGACTATTACAAAATGGATACATTTTATTATTATCATACTAAGAGTTCATATATCAATCAATTTTCATTTTTTTTTGCAGCATATCCCAATTGACATCTATAATAAATGTTTTGGTGAAAAGCAAGAAGCCATTAAGATAATAGATCTGGAAGCTCGGAAGGGATATAATTGTGTTATTCATACAACTGCACGGAATTCATATGAGAAGTATATTGGTGATGGATGGTACGAATTTTACAAAGAGAAGAAGCTTAAAGCTGGAGATGAGTTATCTTTTAGCATGAGACCTCATGCAGATTTTATGTATGTTTTTGTAATTAGGAGTTGATGTCTGGGTTCCTTTGAATTTTAAATAGAAACAGTTGGTGGAAGGATTATTTTACTTGAAATATTTTTTCTGATGTTAGTTATGTTGAATAATGTTGAATCAAATATATATATATATATATATATATATATATATATATATATATATATATATATATATATATATATATATATATATATATATATATATATATATATATAGTATCTTATGGCCTGAATAAAATAAAAAGCTTGTAAGGTGATATTGTTTAATAAATCCAATTGATTAAAATTTAAGCGGTTAGATAACCATCTAAAAACATGTTTCAAAGATCAATAATATAATTGATTTATAAATTTTTTTCATGTACATAATAAGATATGCTATATATTAGTTATACAAAACAATTATAAAATGCAATATATAATGTTATTAATTATAAATTTACCATTAGAAAATACAATAAATTATCAAATACAACTCAATATTTAATGAGTTGAAAAAATATTAATATTACTTTAGGAAAAAATATTATATTGCAACCACCAATATTGTAATTAAAAAAATATTATATTTTTATGTAAACCAACAGTCATGTGTAATATCACCTTATAACAATTATACCAAATTTGTATGAAAGTAAACAGATAAATTGAAATGTATGTAACAAATAGTGAACCTTGTTTTGAAATTAAATATTAAATAAAGAAAATAATAAAAATTATGAGAAAATAATATTTAAAAAAAATTACAAAAAAAAAATTAATTATAAATAAGATAAAAAGAGTTTTTATTAAATACTAATTAAGGAAATAACTATAATGGAGAACTAAAATAAAGAGTAATTGAAATAATTTAAATACTTATTTTATAAAACCAACTCTAACTATTAACATTTCAAAAGTAGTGAAGGTACAAAATTAAAAACAGAATAAAAGTATTGTCAACGGATCCGTATGATATCAAAATAGAATCCACTGTAGTAACAGTTTTCTTGAGAATATTGCTAATTACTAAGTTAATCGGGACGTTGATAATATCCGAAGAAAGAATGTAGACTCTAGAATTTTCTTAGAACCTTGTTCGGCAGGTGATAAACCATTAGTCCTTACCTTGTGGGTAGTACCTTTAACTTCATGCTCGTAACGTCGAACCTATGAACCCCCATGTTTATTATCTTGTGTGTGATTGTTGCATCATCATACATTCATGCACCCATGAGCATTATTTAAACCGTTTTTCGAGAAACTTAAGATTGACTTTTACAAATATCTCAGGTATTTTTTGACCATGGATTTTGGAAGAAGAAAGACTCAGAAGTACAATTTCAAGGATCCTAAGATAGAGGAACTGAGGACTTTGATTCCTGAGATTGAGAGTCCTACAGATTTCCAGAAAAAGTATGGAGCCATTGTGCCTCTTATGAAGCCCAAGATGAATGAGGGTATTCTTTCTACATTGGTCCAGTTCTATGATCTATTATACCGGTGTTTTACTTTTCCTGATTATCAATTGTGATGCGGTGGGAGAACTGACTTGATTGTTTTACATTTTATTGCAAATGTTGCGGTTAGCAAGAGTCGCCACCGACTTTTCTTTTATCCAAAAGGAAAGGTGAAAAAGCACAGGAAAGACCTTTGAGATTGTTTCTTGAGTTCGAGGGGTAGATTATGAAAAGCGAAGGTATTAGCACCCTTTTCATCCATGGTTTTCCATGGGCTCTTAGTTATTTGCTAGATCACTTGCTTTTGTTTGAGTGTGCTTGTGGTGTGAGTTTTGAAAGTATTTTGAAAACGTCTTTGTAATAGTTCTCGTCTCTATAAGAACGCATACAAAGTGTTTGTTTTGAAAATAGTTCAAAGGTGTGTTTGTGAAATGTGTTTTTGAAAGTGATTTTGAAAAGGTGTCTTTGTAATGGTTCTCGTCTCTATAAGAACGCGTACAAAGTGTTGTCTTTCAAAAATGTTTCAAAATGAAAGTGTTGGTGTATAAAATGTTTTTGTTGTGAGCAAGCGAGCAACTAAGAGCGAATCTACCTACTCGAAAGGTCTTAGATGTTCTTTTCCTCCTCCTTTAGATGTTGCTAACTTACCATTGTTTTGGTAAGAAGCCCCATCGTTGGATGTGAAGGGACGGGAGTTGGGACGTTTGTATAGTCATAGAATGCAACCTATGAGACATTTTAGCAGTGTTGTTTTAGGGACTAGATTGTTTACCGAAGGCAACATTGAAAGTCATCGAGGGACTACGATCTTTTATCGAGGGTCTTTGCTAAAACTCCATGTTCGAGGGACATGACTATTTTCTGATAGGAAACAAAGTGGGATTACCCTAAGGGTGCTAGTGTGCAAGTGTGTTTGATTGCATGCATTTAGTCTTGATTAGGATGATCTATTTGTTGATTTTCATATCTTACCATACACACCCTAATTACTAGCATTTATATTTGAAAGCGATAAGTTACAAAAATGTAAAGTCCTACGCTATTACAATGTTTAGGGGGATGGGGTATACAAATTTACAAATGGGGATTGCAAGGAATTTAAGTCCTAATTATCTATTACAACCACATTGAATGGATAAGCGTGTACCAAAAAATGTAAAGTGTTTGTTTTGTTTAAGAAAAGAAATAAGTTTGGTTCAAGAAAATGTTTTGATCTTTTTATCTTGAAAGAAATAAAATATAATATGTGAATATGAAATATTTTTGGTGTTTTTTTTATTGGTGGAAAATAAAAGTGATGGAAAAAAAATAATAAAAGGACAGAATCAGCGTGAATGCTAAAAGGAAGAGGTCAGAAGTTCTGACTCTGACTTGTTGCACAAACAGAAACAAACATTAATAGAAATAGAGGAGGTCAGAAGTTCTGGATCTGCTGAGGACACAAAAGTTTTCAGAAGTTCTGATGCCACTGACATAACTCCATCTCCCTCTCCATGCTAGTCAAAACATCTGCAACTTAGTCAATTCCCAACAAGACAGAAGATATGCATATAACAGTTTATGGAAGGTTTCATAATGTTTCAGAAACAAGAGATATCAGAACTATAAATCAGAAGCAAACATGAATTTGCTAAAACCTAATTCTGAGTTCTAATTTCTTTAAGAAGTTCAGAACTGATTTATTCCATACTTAGGCAGACAAATACGTGAAGCCTCAGAATATGTACTACATTAGAAACATGATGTCTACATTGTATTTTTGAACATGCAAATCTGGTAATGCTTAAGTGACGTGATAAGAGTCAGCAGAAGCTTACCTTGCAGCTGAAAAAGATTCTGTGAACTAGAGGTTGGTCCTGGACTCTGGTGATGTTCTGAGAAACTTCTTTACGTACTCAGCAGGATGGAAGTTTTCAACTTCTGGAACAGCCAAGGGATGATGTTCTGACTTCTTTGAGGTGGAGGTGGATGGAGAGTGTATTGCAGTATGAATATAGAAGTTAGAATAACTTCTAATATGTGAATCAGAAACTGTGGGGGTGGTTTTAGTCAAGGAACAATGGAATTTTTATGCAAGAATCAAATTTTAAGGTTTTGTATTTTGGTGTTTACAGATTCTTGGATTCTTGGATTCTTGGAATTTTTGCAGGGGGTTCAAAGATTTTCTTTCTCAAAATTTTGACATCTTTTCAGTTGCCAATGGTTTCCAATTTATAGGAAAGGATCCTTGTAGCTTGGAGAGATCAAGGGTACAACTATCATATGCTAGGCGCTGACTTTTTCTTGAAGCAAGTTCAAATAGGTGTGGTAGTTGACAGTTTTTTAGCCATGCCTAAACTGGATTAGCAAGCAGGGATTAAGGAAAAGTAATCCCAAAAGAAAAAAGCAACGCATGGGCCCTCACATACTTTTGTACAAAGGTTGCTTTTAAAGACAACAAAGGTACTTCTATGCCACACGTGAGGAGATCCTTTGGATAAAGACTCAAAAGTGGTTGTGAGCTTTAAATAAGCATTAAATGATGATGAGATTTATCAACCCATAAATCTCGCAATGTGATATTTTGCATCATTGCTTGGATCAGAAGTTCTGCTTCAACGTAGCATCCAATCTGTTGATCCTTTGTATCTTTTTGCTTCAGGATGCTCTGAAGGATCCCTTAGATTTTCCAGGAAGCTTGCAACACACTTTGTACCTTCTTTGATTTACCCTTGCAAACTCTGACTGAAGCTTTGTGAAAACTTTCCCATAAGTTATGACCAAACTCTGTCTTGAAAGTGTCCAGAACTTGCTGAGTGTTTCAGTTTCAATGACGTATCTTTGAGGAGTTATAACTTGAAAACCCAACATTTCTAGGAGAAGTTCTGTTCTAAAATGTTTTAGATCTTGTTGAGATCTAAATCTCTAGTGTCAGAAGTTGATCCAGAATCAGCTTGCATCATGGTGAAAATCCGGCCAGAAGTTCTGAGTTTTGTCATGCTTCTTAGACACTTAGAAAAGTTCTTAAGTATTTAAAATTTTGACTTTTCCAAAAATAAATTGACTTTTTATTTTCTTGATGAAACAAACTTCATATTTCAACATGTCTTGATAAAATACGATTCTTGAAACTTGGTTTTGATCCAAAGGTCAAAGTTTTACTTTTTAGTGTGCAAATGACCATTTTGCCCTTGTAGGCGATTTTCTTTGAAAAAATGCAGCTCAAGCCTTGGAATTGGATGGAAGCAAACCTGAGGGTCCAGAGTGATTCCTTGAGAAATGAGAGGGTAAATTTTGGGGTACAACAGCTGCCCCTGTTCAACCTTTTTAAACCCGAAGAGTTAGATTGGCGAGTTTTGGCATTCGTGGCTCGAAGGTGGAAGATGATTGGACACTAGAGTGCCTAGAAATTTGCACTTGATGATGCATGGTTGAGGGAATGGGATTAAAGATGCCATTTGGAGTGGTGATAGAATCTTGTTGGGGATGGGCTTGTAGATGCCATCCAGAAGTGATTGCTGAATTGTAATTTGTAAGCTGAAAGAATGGGTATCAGAATGGCGTCCGTGTCTGGAGCGTATCTGAGTTGTATCCAGAA